TTTTTCATTTTTCACTTCTTCATATTGCAATTCTTCATCTTTCACTTCTTCATCTTGCAATTCTTCATCTTTCACTTTTTCATTTTTCACTTCTTCATATTGCAATTCTTCATCTTTCACTTTTTCATTTTTCACTTCTTCATATTGCAATTCTTCATCTTTCACTTCTTCATCTTGCAATTCTTCATCTTTCACTTTTTCATTTTTCACTTCTTCATATTGCAATTCTTCATCTTTCACTTTTTCATTTTTCACTTCTTCATATTGCAATTCTTCATCTTTCACTTCTTCATCTTGCAATTCTTCATCTTTCACTTTTTCATTTTTCACTTCTTCATATTGCAATTCTTCATCTTTCACTTTTTCATTTTTCACTTCTTCATATTGCAATTCTTCATCTTTCACTTCTTCATCTTGCAATTCTTCATCTTTCACTTCTTCATATTGCAATTCTTCATATTGCACTCCTTCATCTTGCGACTCAGCTCTAGATTCCCGCACAAGTTGGTTTCGCTTTATATACCAAAAATTTTTAAGATCATTTTTCGAATAATGTATTTTCCATTCTTTTTGCATTACATTTTGTAAAAGTTTCCATTTGATTGTATGGGTTTGCTCATGAACCCATTTACAAATAAATTCTTTTTCTTCATTAGAGAATTGATCAAGTTTTTTGCACTGTTGGATGTTCGATAACAGATCTCTCATCTAAAAAAAAATTAAGATAAAATGATTGTTAAATAATTTCTTTTCATTAAAATAAAATAAAAACTATTTTTTTTAAAAAAAAAGCTAGTATAAATAACTTAACGTACGTATTTGAACGCTTTTTTATTTTTATTTGACTTTATAAAAACAGTAAAGGAAAAGTTCATATTAAATGAATGTTATAATTGAAAAGTGAAAGGAAAGAAAGAAATCAAAAGGAATTAATTCTCCAAATGAAATGAATTCTTACATTTTAAAAAAATCGGCGTAATTATTGTATACATTACACTACATATTTTCATTCATTTATTTCCAATAATATCGACGATTCTATTCAACATTTCATTATTGATTTTATTCCAATAATATTAAAGATAATATAGCCAAATATGAAGAATTTAAAGGAAGTTAAAAAAAAAAAATTAGCACATATGGATGAATGACCGGAAACCTCAAAATCATGAGATAAATTGACATAAAAACATTTTTTATTATTATGGAAACATAAGCATCATCATAAAATTTTAAAAATTAAAAATCTTGTGAAATACTACAAAAATTTATTTAAAATTTTGCATTTTTCGTCAAAATTCTCGGCTATAATAAAACTGAGATTTTCTTTTGTTAGTAAAACTTGTTTAATTTACTGTAATACTCGTAGGGTTCGTCGAAATCTATTAACCAAATTTTTAATAATAAATAACTTTACAACCAAATAGAATTTTACTATAGAAAAAATTTTATCGAATAAATGCAAAATCTTAAATAAACTTTTCAGCACCAAGCCTAAATTTCACAATATTTTAAAGTTGTATGCTATTTATTATGGTATACGTTTAGATAAAAAGTTGTAATATTATTTCTAATAATTAAATAAAAAAAAACTAAACAAACTCAGAAGGTAATTATTGATTTGCGGTTTGTTTTAATCAATATTACTTTTTTTGAATGAATTAAGTTACTCGAATGTACAATGACAGTTTCCGGCGGAATGAGTTTACAAAAATGTAGGTGTTATAGTTGAATTCTATTATTCTGCAATTGGGTTTGTTGATTTATGTCCTTTTCGGGGACTTCGAAGCTTTGAACTTATATTTTTTTTTAAGTAAAAAATGAATAAGTTCTAATTCGAAAAAAAATTTGCCGATTTCTTCGCTATTAGATATTTTGATAACTTATAATTTGACATGGTTGTTGTTATCATCTTCATGTTCGTGAAAGAAATTAACTAAATTAAATTTCATCTTGCACCTCATCTTGCAATTCAGGTGCAAGTTGTCTTTGCATTGACTACCAAACCTTTTCAGATCATTTCTTTTGTATTATATTTTGTAAAAGTTTCTATTTCATTGTAATGTTTGTTTTTTACTCATAAACACATTCATAAATAAAATTTTCATCATTTGAGAAATTATCATGACTATTATTGAATCCGAGTTTTGAATTTCTTAAGTACATTTCAAGAAATCTTTATAAACTTTAATATTTTTCCACAAAAAAAAAAGAAATACGATGATTTCATTCCTGTAAATAAAAATAAATTGTTTTTTAAATTAGTAATGATTAACCATTCAAAACAGTAATTCGGATCATTGCCTAATTAGTCGTCTATTACAGTTATTAACTCGGCTAATCTCCATGAAATTTGAAGATTTGCTAATTATAATATAGGGCCTTTGCAATAGAAAGGGGGAAACGACCAAACAATGAAATCTAAAAAGACAATGATTGTCATTAAACAACAGAGCTGATTTATGCCGTGGTAATTATTTTTTTTTTTTTTTAACAAAATGTTCTCTCAATATATAATCATAAAAAAAAATATTACTTTTCACCGATTTAAACGCATTTTTGCGCTTTGTTTTTATCAATATCGATATTACTTTTTTTTTTGATTGAGTTACACAAACCGATTTCGCGGAATGAGTTTATAAAAGTAGTTTCTTTATAATTATTCTGCAATTTAATTTATTAATTTATGTAGGTTTTATAAATAGCAAATAGTAAAACCTCTTGAAGTTTTGAAAATAAATAATTTAAAAGGAATAGGGGTTGAAATGATTAACCTAAACTCAATGAATAAGCTTCATATTACGATTCAGCTCTAGCTTCCCGTGCAAGCCGTCTTTGCATCGAACCCCAAATCTCTTTTAGGTCTTTTTGGGAACAAGGTACAAAACGATCTTTTTGCATTTTTTTTTGTATTTTTTTCCAATTAATTTTGCGATTGCAGTTTATTTTGTTCATTTCAAACCATTCACAAATAATCTTCTCATCTTCGTTAGTTAATTTGCCATGACCGTTTCTGAATTTTAGAACAATCATTAAGTTGATGAAGTTGATGAGCGAGGTAGGAAATTTTTTAAAGTATTTCCATAAACCTTTAGGTATTTTCTCATGTTGTCGCTTGCGCTAAAAAAAAATGAGATGGTTTATTAAATAATTTCTTCCATTAAAAAAGTTAAAGTTATTTTTTACCAGTAACTATAAATAAAGTATTTAACATACTTTTGACTTGGAACCGTAAGATAGCATTCTTAAATTCTTGAATGAATGAATGTTATCAAAAGGAAAAAAAAAGAACTCTGAATGAATATATTTAAACAAAAAAAAACTACTGTATCTCAAATATGGACTTTCATTTTTTACCTAAAAAAAATATTGTTTATTTTATTTACATAACACTACATTTCGCATTCGCATTCAACTATTTCTAAATATGCAAAAAAAGAGACTAAATATCGATTTATTGAAACTAATAATAATTAAACAATGAAATTAAGACTAATAATCATACAGTTAATTGTGGAAGAATTTAAAGGAAGTTAAAAAAAAATGAAAAAAGATTGGGCATATATGGATTACATGACAATTATACAAGTTAAAAATTTGTAGATAATTAAATGAGAAAAAAGACTAAACAAACTGTATTGAATTGTTAATTCTTTTAGAGATTAAATGCTATTGGCATTCCATGAAGGTTTAAGAAAAAATAAGAAAAATTACTTTTAATCAAGCACCTAAAAAAACAACCAACAATATACGAACGATTCCAATTACTAGTTCGGTAAGAATGTAATGATCAGATAAAAATCATTTACTATAATGAATGCATTCGTCGCGAGCGACCTGTTGATATGATATAATTGCTAATGTGCTTTAATTAAGGAAAATATTTGTCGCGTTATTCCCACAAAATATTTCTCGCATTGTAAAATTTTAAATAATATTCTCAAAAAAAAAAAAAAAAAAAAGATTTCTTTTTCCCCATTGTGACCGTGAATAACTTATTTTGCTCTGTTTTGGGTAAAGCATTGAATGGTATGGTTGTATTTATAATGTATGTATATGTATGCACATACCACAGTACATCTGATTTCATTAATATATATTATATATGTTTGTATGGACGCAAGCATACATACTACACGTGATACACATCGATAACTAATGATGTATATCAAATTAAGTAGTAAAATTTTTTATTGCAAGAATTTATTATTTTACTAGGTAACGGAAACAGTCATGAGTCCCCGGCGCGAAAAACGGAAAATCACGTGTCGATCATTAAGTCTTAAAAACGTCATACGGACAATTATTTTATCATTGCGATAAAAATTTTCAAAACTTATCTCCTCATCCAAATTTTAAATATAAAGGGTTCTAACTCTTCCATTTAACAGAACATATTCTTGAGATAAATAATGAAAATAGAAGTGTATAGGGGGGTTTAAAGCAGTGATGGCATTTGGCCTTAGCCAAAAGATTTTTTTGACCGTTAGGCCATGGCCAAAATTGACAAAATTGGCCGACCAACACTTAAATAATAAACATAAATAGGTATTTAGTTGGAATTTGACCAAAAACGTTTTGATCATTTGTTAAAACGGCCAAAATGTCAACACTGGTTTAAGTTAGCGTATTTAAAGTAAGCAAATGCTATGTGAATCTTAAGCGAACGTTATTTAACTAGAGATAGTTATTATAAAATAGCATATCACAATACACATACGATAATGTGTTTATGGATTCATTGAAGTTTCTTAAATTAAAAATTTTTTTTGATTAAAAGTGTAAACAATTTTTAGAAAAATAATTTAAAAAGGGATATAACTCAAAGGAGGTGAAAACGAATTACCCATATTCATTAATAAAATAAATCACTTATCTTACGCTTTAGTTCCAGCTTCCTGTATAAGCTTTGATTTCCAAACATTTAACTTTTTGCAAACATATATCAGGAATGTATTTGAGACAAAACCTTCATAATATTTGCATCTTCATTGAAGTATTCTTAGGGTTTATGATTTCGTAATAATTACGAAGTGCTACAATTGAAATTCTTTGTAGATATTACAGCTCAACCTTCGGAGTACTTCGACCGCAGTACTAGATATTACAACTTATTCATTTCGTATTCGCACTATATCTAAATATGCAAAAAAGAGACCTAAATATCGATTTATTAAATCTGATAATTAAAACAATGAAATTAATACTAATAATACAGCCAATTGTGGAAGGATTTAAAGGAAGTTCAAAAAAAAATTTGGGCATATATGGATTACATGACAAATTATACAAGAAAAAGTTGTAACATTATTTTTAATAAATAATTGAAAAAAAGACTAAACAAACTCGAAGGTAATTATGGATTTGTTAATTCTTTTAGAGATTAAATGCAATTGACAATTCTATGAAGGGTAAGAAATACTTTTAATCAAACACTTAAAAAAAGCAGCAAGACTATATATTATATACATACTCTCAATTTCTATTGTAACGATCGGATAAAACTGATTACTAGAATGAATGCATTCGACGCGGCGACTATTTATTTTTAGTTTTTTACTATCCTTATTGTTAATATGTTTTATTAAGGAAATTTTGTTACGTTATTTTTTATTTTTTTAAAAAAAAAAACTATTTCTCGCATTATGAAAAATTAATTTTAACAAAAAAATAATAATAATAATTTTTTTTCTTTGTGTTCCACGCCA